TGATGAAACGCGCGGTAGGTTGGGAAGCGAGGAAACAAGGAGGCGAGTGATCGACGAGGAAAATGATGAAAAGTGCGTGGGCCGAGCAAGTGAGGAAACAACGATGCAAGCGCTCAACAAGGAAAGTGATGAATCGTGGCGTCGGCCCGGAAGTGAGTCAGTGGGGAAGCAGGTGGCAGGCCAGGAAACTGCGTCACACAAGGAAAAAGAGTATTACGAGGAACTGAGTGAGTCTAAGCGAGGCAAGTGATGAAACGCCAGTCGGCATGGAAAGGGAGGAAATGAGGAAGCAAGTTTGGTAGGCCTGGGAAATGATAAAACGAAGAAGCAAGTCATCAACCAGGCCAGTGAGGAAATGCGGAACAGGCCTGAAAAGCGAGGGAACAAGGAAACCAGACACTCAACCACTATCTCGAAATCGGAGTTGATTCTCAAGTTTTTTTTTGTGTCCGCCTTGAAGCCTCCTTGTGCGAAATGAGGACATTTTTTTTCCCCTTTTTCTGATAATTTGGCTCCTCATTTCCTGTTGATCCAACTGACCGGGGTGGCTGTTGCCATGGTGACCACTCTGCCAGCACAGACGAGTACACACGCAAATGCTGCACTCTTCCCACTCTCTTCAAATCTCCACGCTCCGCGTTTATGCATGCGACAGCCAAAGGATGCCGGTCATTTAGAGGCTTCACCAACGCTATGTGGGCGTCGAGAGGCGCGAAGAAGTGCACCGCGCCAAAGCGTTCCGCATCTCTTGAGATTTTCCGCTTGCTTCACGCGGTGCATACGTGTATTGAATGTAACGCATTTTCTCAAAAAGACAACCGGACGTCATTCCATTAAGATGAATAAATGTCCCTTTAAATTAGATCCCTGTGTTCTGGAGGTGGGGTTAAGTCACATATGTTCAAGTCAAAGTTCGTCCACTAAATTTCAGACAAGTCATTATTTGGGATCAGCAAATCAAAAAGTCAAGTCATACTATCTCGTTCAGTCACGACATATCAATAGTGCAAATTAGTCACTCAATATGGATACATGTGTTCCTTAAGTTAAAAAAATAAATAAATAAATCAGACATCAATAAGTCCTCCTTGCCAGTAGTTGGCGCTACACTGTGGCAATCTGACACATCTGTGAATCATTGTGTGTGTCAGAAAGAAAGAAACATCTTTGTCATAATTGCGTGTGATTGTGACAACTGAAATCTGAAGCCTCAAAAGTACGAGTGGTATCAATACTTAGTATCGGTGAGTACTCTAGAGCAAACATGCAACTACGGTCGAGGGTCCAAATAAGCCCAAAGGTTTGGCACTGTGAGCAAACGACCAGCACACAATAGAGAAGTTCATTGATCATTGAAAAAAACAAATAAAACCCATGCAGGTGTTCTGTTGTTATACTCAGCTATGCAACGTTCAGTTCAAAATCTGTGTGGTGACTAGCTTAACGCTTAGCACTGTTGTTTGTGCATGATCGGTGACCCACAGTTCAAAATTCAGTTGTCATCTCGAATGTAATTCTGCTAAGTTCAACTCCTGCCCGAATCCAACAAAATCATTTTTTGTCTGAAAGCAAGGATGTGAAAGCGTAAATGAAAATGTTTCATCGGTGGCTGCTCAGAGAAACTAGCCACGTGTTTGAGTCATAGGGCAGTACGGTGCTGGCGACTCACTTTGTTTCATCTAAGATCGACGAGTGGTATCAATACTTAGTATCGGTGAGTACTCTAGAGCAAACATGCAACTACGGTCGAGGGTCCAAATAAGCCCAAAGGTTTGGCACTGTGAGCAAACGACCAGCACACAATAGAGAAGTTCATTGATCATTGAAAAAAACAAATAAAACCCATGCAGGTGTTCTGTTGTTATACTCAGCTATGCAACGTTCAGTTCAAAATCTGTGTGGTGACTAGCTTAACGCTTAGCACTGTTGTTTGTGTATGATCGGTGACCCACAGTTCAAAATTCAGTTGTCATCTCGAATGTAATTCTGCTAAGTTCAGCTCCTGCCCGAATCCAACAAAATCATTTTTTGTCTGAAAGCAAGGATGTGAAAGCGTTTCATACATTACGCTTTTCTGTCTGGTTTTTTTTTGGTATGTTTTTGTAGCCACATGGGACTCCATTTTTAGGCCTGTACTACTCATATCAAGCCAAAAACAGAAAACCGTCTTGCGTAAGGCGATTTGTAACAATGGCCGATGTCGAAGAGGGTCCAAATCAGTCATGACGCACACTGAAAAGCTGCCATTTGAGAGGCCGTCGGAAGCCGTGGGAGGCATTCAATACTGTGGGAGGAGCTGGGTGGCACGGAGCAATCTCGGACCCACACCCACGCAGACGCCAGCCTCAGAACATGATGTATTTGTGTCGTGGGTGTTTTTCCTCCAACTGAACGAAGTTATATCGTTAAAATGACATTAAAGCTTTGAAGGGGACATACAGCTCTAGATTATGGGAAACAGAGTTCACTGTTTTATTCAGGGCTGCCCAGCCATCAAGGGAAATTAAACAAATTAAAGTGATTTGTTCATCTGCCTACTTCTGAAATTGTGCCTGAAGTATGTGTCGCTCCAATAGAAGACGATTCGATACGTAGCTTGATACATGGGGTGCAATACGATTAGAGGACTGTGCATTTGAAAGCGAAACGTTTTGATGCATTCACATCTCTTACAGTAAATCAAAAACGATTTTCCGATTCAAATCGTTTTCCGTTACTCCTTACGTTTGGGGCTTTTTCACAAAAGCATGCCACAAACATGTCATGAAGACGCCTGGGCACTGTGAAATGATATTGAACTACAAATAAATGTGCCTCAGCAAGCTACAGTTGGTATTGATTCCACAAGAAAAAAAAAACACGAGTAGGTGAAATTGTGAAAAGGAGTGCACAAATATGACAGGATTACATTTTTGGACCGCGCTCGTATTAGGATTTTGCCTGTGAGGTCTCCACTAAGGCTTGACTATGTGCTTTGTGGTGTCCGTAGCTGGGTTTTGCTTGTCTCCGCCTCTTCCATGATTCCCCAGGGTGCTGTGATTGCTGCTGCTTCGGCTTGGGGGTGGGTAGTCAATAAGTAGAGCTATCAGTGGGTACCTAGTAAACCTCGGTCCTCCCGTGGATGCCTGCAAGGGGGTTGGAGGAGGATCACTTGTCAGTTCAGGGAAGATAATAAGACCCCCCAATGGCGTGATGAATGTAGAGCAACTTCATATCGAAATAAGACATTTAGATTGCTCCCCAACAGCGACACGGTTGCAAAATGGTTTGAACAAGGCCAGAGTGTGTTCATTTCTTTGCAACCCACACACAACCTCCCCAGGAGGACCCCCACCTGCCTAATGGAGTCAGCTCTTATTACTTGCAGGCTGCATGGAAGCGCCGCTTTTGTTTGGTCCCGTGAAAGCAGTACAGGTGTAGGAAAATGGAGCACAATGAAAGATTCTCTTACAGGCGGCACTGTGACCGAGTATTCCCTCCTCGGGGAAAGGAAGAATAATTTTACCATGTCCCCACCCCACCCTAGTTCACTCAAACTACTCTATGTGGTTGGAAGATGGCACACACGTGCACTCTGGTTGTCTTATTGAGAAGAGGTGGGAGGAATCTTGTGATGTATGTACTTTATTTACTGCACCTTTGTTGACCTTGAGTGTTTTGAAAGTCGCTTATAAATGAAATTTATTATTATTATTATTATTATGATAACATCTTATTTTTCGACCAAGTATTGTATGGTTGTAACAGTTCTCTCGCTTGTAAAATAGGGACATAGAGTAAATAAAATATTATGGTCAAATTTCGAATGGGGTTGGATTTACTTCAGGGGTGCTTCAGCAGGGCTGAAAATGGGCTGTTGCCTTGTTTCACAGCAGTGCCAAATCAGTTTCGATAATTAAAAAAAACAACATTAGTCTATTAATTGCAGCGCAGATTCCCCGCGGAGGTTGGAGTGCACGAGACATGGAGAGCGACTCTGCACGTGTAAGGCCTGCTCACGTTCCTCTTTTGCGATCCCGGCTGCTGCCCACACACTGTGTGCTTTTCTCTCGGCCTGCAGATTAATTGTTCCTGCTGTTTCGTGTCAAAAACGGTGCCAGATCCATATCCCCGCATCACAACGGAATTCTTGTCGCTGTTTCGCTGTGAAATTGATGAACCCAGCATCCAAAGGGAAGAAGGAATGCACTTCATCTTGTTCTCCCTTACACGGTAGGGCTGCAGGATTACAAGACAAAATGATACTCATGATTATTTTGATCAATCGTATAATTATGATCATTCATCCTGACACATCGGTGTCAGATGTGCACATTAAAAAAAATGTTTTGAATGTTTTTGTAGCAAATGCTTTTTTTTAAACATCCCTCCAATCTTTTATCATTCGCTTTTTATTCAAAACACATAACAAGTCTCTATTGGAAGTTTCACCCCCTACAACATTAAAGCATTTAGTTATATGTAAAACTCAAAAATATGTAAAGCATTTATATATACATTTCAATTAGTTTCCATGACTTTTTTTCCAGGTGACAAAGGGAAATGTGTGACGCATGAGCTCAACAAATGAGCATAAACATTACAAACAAGTTGACTTCATATTTTTATTTTGATCTTCACCTCCAAAAAGTGACCTTATCCCCCATGAAGCGAAAAACGGGGGTCCACTGTAATACGTGGATTGAACAGGTGACTGGGTGGCGGCGAGCTAGCTAGCGAGATGAAACGGAAGAGCTAGCTCAACAAATCATCATAAACATTACCAAAAAAAAAAAAAGACCCTATCCCCCAATAAGCGAAGAATGGGGGTCCACCGTAATACATGGAATGAACAGGTGACTGCTAACTAGCTACCGGGATTGATTGCAAAAAAGCTAGCTAAGCTCATGCTCAAACACCCTCCAAAATCCTTCACAGGAATTTAGTTTGAATTGGTAATAAACTAGCTGAGTAGCTGGCTTCAAAAAAAAAAAAAGGAGTTACAATGCTGCCAAACAACATACTTTTGTCACACTCTTTATTGGCATAAATGAATTCACAAGTGTAATAGACAACATACTTTTGCTAATTTTTTTTTTTTACAATGGATAAACTGTCAATAAAATTTGAGCAAGAAAAAGTTCAAAGGATCACCGTGAACCCTCAACTTCTGGAGCTTCATAGTTCCAAGTTGTTCATTTGAATTTCTCTTGCCATTTTACATCATTAAAGTCAAGAGTGGGTTCTAATAACCCTTTATATGGATAGTATGAGATATAAGCATGAACAGAAAGCAGCGCTTCAAACGTTGCCATGATGAAGTCACTTCAGCTTGACGAACATCAGATTCAAGTCGCCGAACACTCTCACATGGGTGATCCGGTCCAGGTCGACACGGTATTCGTACTCCAGGAGACGGACGCAGTCGACGGACACGGTGAACGCATTGGCGCCACAGTGGATTTTCATCTGAATGACAACAAGACAGCAGTAAGGCATCTGAGCGACTTTCAACAGGGAAACGTATGATTTGACAGTTTTTCGAGTGACCAATGAAGCCAACATGTTGAGAACTTGGGAGGAACGTAAGGAGCACATACCAACATTTCAACCCCGAACATATGAGGCCTGTAAAATGCTAACCCGAGAAATATTTTTTGCAATAGATGTGTGTGTAGAGTAACAGTGAATTCATGTAACCTCAAAGTAGAAGCCAGGTGCAAAGGGGAACTTGTCCAGCTTGCGCTCCTCCACACCCCAGGAACCAGACAGAAAGGAGTTGCGTCCAAACACCACCTCATTTGAGGTGGCATTCATGCGAGGGTTCAGGCTCAGTGCCACGTCGCTGCTGCTGCTACTGCCCATCAAGAGGTCGACGTTAAAACTGAAAGACAAAAGCACCAAAATGTGTCATGGTGGCAGGCTTATTTGTGAGGGATGTGGGTGGCTTAGTATTGCACCTCTTTGGATATGGCTTGACTCGCCCCCTGATGGCGATGCTACGGCCCACATGGAGACCTCCAACCAGCTCCCCCATTTGAGCATCCTGTAACAAATCATTTGGTTGGAAAATTGCACGTGAATGGTGTTTGTAAAATGTGATTACTGTATTGTAGTATTTGTGTATTGGATGTGGGCCTTTAAGGGGTGTGGCCTAGCAAATGATGTCAGCAGCTGCTCCTGGAGTGGGGTTGAACTTTGTGAGCATTTGTCTGTGGGTTGTGGCTCACTCCATCAGCTTTCATCACGACTCTGCGCCAGCATTTGATTTTATACTTGGTGTTCTCAGCGTAATGGTTTCTGGCCAAGGTTGTCCTGACGTTTTTCTTTAGCGAAAGAAAACAACAGTTAGCATCGTCATGGCCTCGCACTCCTTTCAGTCGTGTCCGGGAGATGACCACTCACTGCTATTTTTCCAGCAAGGGTCAGTCCCAGTTGTTCAGTGACGGTCAAATTCTGAAATTAACAGCATTTGACTTCATTAGCTTAGCATCAGTTAGCACTAAGTATGTCGATTTTGAGTCATTCCGGTCATGGTCAACCGAAAAAGTTGGAATGTTGGCAACTGCTGGTAAAATTTAGGCTTACCTTGGTGTTGTTGTCATTTGAAGCATAGCCCTCATTGATGACCAATGTTTCAGACCGTTTTTTATTTCTGTCATAGACTATGCTGAACAGGCTGAATGTTGACACCAGGATCAAGATCCCCACCAGGAAAGCCAACTGCCAGGTCTTCGCTTTTGCCTGAGAAGGCAAAAAGTGGGATCATTATTGTCCACGTCATGCTTTTTGTTCCAAGTAAATTGCATTCAAATCAAATATAAACACGGTCATGCTCGGCCAATGAGTATTAGTGTGGTACTTGGAAACCCTCTACTGGCATACGAAGGAATCGCTGATTAAATGTTCAAACTGTAATCTTGATCTCGGAATACGCGCTGTGGTTTTAAATGAAAATGTGACTAGTCACGATTAAGTAGGTAATTTACTAGCGAATATTGGTGAGTGAATAACAACGATCAATCATTTTTTTCCAAGAAGAAACAGGCGTAACTTGACCAATAGTTGACCAAAGTTCTTCTCGTTTTAAAATGATATGTAATCAAATGTTAATTGCATCTAGTCAGGGAGGTCTTGTTCAATCAACAGTTCAGTTAATTCCAGATTATTTTTAAGTAGATTTTGAAAGCAGTACAGAGAATGGATATGGATGGATGGATGTTAAAAGGGCTTATAAAACAAAAGACCGGAACTCACGCAACATTTCTGTTTCTGCATCTTACTACGCCCAGGAAACAGTTCCCAAGTGATATTGGAGTCTTGCGCAGCCATCCTCTCCGGTGGACGTGATTCTGAAGCTCGACTTGCACGCTGACTCCCCCCCCTCGACCAAGGGCGAGTTTCTGTCGTTTAACGTTTGTTTTGTGACACACTTCACCTTGCTCTTCGTCCTTCGTGAAATACTTAACGATGCTTTAATCACGAAAAGTACCAAGGCATGACGTTTTGAAGTATGAAACGAGTGTAACATAATTAGACTGAATGAAAGCATGCGAGGTGCAGACGCAGTGGCTTTCGCTGAAGCGACGTTGTGGTGTCATGGACGTCACAAAGCACAACCAGAAGGTTTTGATAGGGTCAAATTGTAATAAACGCTTATATGTGCAAGGTTGAAACGGATTTCACCGACGAATGTTTGGGTGGTCAGGACAACAACTAAAGAGCAATTAAGAGGAGATATTACATTGATTTCCTTTTCTGATTGATATTAAAAAATTATCTATTTATATATTGCACCGACGAATGTTTGGGTGGTCAGGACAACAACTACAGAGCAATTAAGAGGAGATATTACATTAATTTCCTTTTCTGATTGATATTAAAAAAATGATCTATTTATATATTAATACATAACAAGAAGGCGGCCTGGTGGTCCAATGATTAGCGTGTCGACCTCAAGGTGCAGAGGTCGTGGGTTCAATTCCAGCTTGGGTGGTCCCTGTGTGGAGTTTGCATGTTCTCCCTGGGCCTGCGCAAATCCGTCGGCAGCCAATCGCAGGGCACACATAACTGAAAAACCATTCACTCACAATCTCACCAAGGGACAATTTAGACTAGAGTCCCATTAACCTGTGATGCATGTTTTTGGAATGTGGAAGAAAAGCGGAGTATCTAAAGAAAACCTATGCAGGCACGAGGCGAATATGCAAACTCCACAAAGGAAGGCCGGAGCCGCAATCTAACCCTTGACCTCTGCACCGATGTGCTCACCAATCGTCCACCGTTCCTCTGGGGTCCAACCAAAGAAACCGAAAACCTATCTTACTCACGTTAGCCGTGGATAAAAATACAGCGTTTTGCAAAGTTATTATATTTGGCAAGATGCCAAAATCTGGGGATCGGGATTTACATTTGACTGTATGCACATTAAGATGCTTTTTAAAATCAAATGATAATGGCAGCTTTAATAAGGTACAGTACTAAGGTGTACTGTATCGTAATGATGCGTTCATGTACTTCGGGAAAAAGGACCGATATGAGGTTTGTGTACTCCAAACTAAAATAATTCTATGATAGCGCTGACTAATTGACATCCAAACTAAAATAAAACAATCCTTCGTCTTTATTATGTGCACGGTTGAGCTACGGGTCTATGACCAGCGTCTTTTATCGTTCGTAGTGTCCGCTGTTATCTCGACTTGGAACTTTTAAAATTGAAAACCAACGACTCCGAAATGACGAACGCGGTACGAGCGCCAATAATGGCGAATTAAAGCCTGTCAACGTTCATGATTGTCTATTTCAAGGTTTTCATCGTGTCATTTTCGAGTTAAATGAACCAAAGTCTGACCCGAACGTGAACAAATCGAAGTGGGCGGATTTGCACTCAAACGCATTATTACAGGAGTCAGTTTCTGGTTAGCTTAGCGGTCGAGAGCGCCACCATGTTTCCTTCGTGTCCGGGTCCAAAACACCTCTCACCGATATGCTATCTCCTGCTAACCGTGTGCCTCGCGTCCTTGCCGGTTACCGAGGCCAAGCGGGACACCCTCCGGGAAGTCACCGACGGCAACTGGGAGGACATCCTGACCGGAGAGTGGATGATTGAATTGTCAGTAGCTTAGCCAAGTCAGTCAGCTAGCTATTTGGAGGGTGGGACACCGGAGGGCATTTTGCCGTCTAACTTTTTGCAATTCAACATTTTTGCAACTGTTCATTTAAAATACTGTTAGCAATCCGAAAGCAATGCTATGGTACAATGTTTGGAAGTTGTCTTGCTCGCCTACGTTAGCTTCGCCAACCAGCCGGCTAATCATACGCTCAAGCTAGCAGTATGATCCTTGTTTTAACATTCAAGTTTCGAATTCCGGCCTTGCAGGCTATACAAGCGTTTTTGCACATCTCTTTGACTGATAAACAGTAGACGAAGCAGTTGTTAAATGTTAAGTCATTCACTGTCACATGACTTCCATTTTCCAGCTGTTTTACAGCAACCTAAAACATGTTTTCTGTGATAATACTGTACAAGCAAAAAACTTAACGAAAGAGTCAATGTTTTTCTCTAACCAGAAAAAAAAGTTTTCCACCTCCTTTTGTGACCCCCAAAAATGGAGAGAAAAATAGGATTGTGAGGATAAAGAGCTGTTCAGTTAATGGATGGATGGATGGATGAATGAAAAAAAAAAATCCAAAATGAAATGTTAATTTCGTCTTGCTTAGTTAACTTGTAAGTTGTCTTGTTAAGCTATGTTAGTTGTGCTATAGGCTAACAATATGTACAAGGTAGCAGTCTATTTATTTTTTTACTTGTAGTCTAATGGTTAGTACGTCGGCCTGAGGTTCGGGTCTCAACAAGTTAAAAGTATTTTTCCCACCCGGCAGTTATGCGCCATGGTGTCCAGCCTGCCAGCAGCTCCAACCCGTGTGGAAGGAGTTTGCTGATTGGGGGGAGGACATGGGGGTCAACATAGCCAAGGTGGACGTCACAGAGCAACCAGGTAGAGCCCCACAAAAAGCACTTTATGGTTTTATTACTGAGTCTAAACTTGCTGTCCTTCTCACTTGAAAGGTCTTAGTGGCAGATTCATCATTACGTCACTTCCGACCATTTACCAGTAAGTTCTCCTGCGGTCACAATATACTGTAGTAGAAAGCAATTTTCAAAATACTAAGCCGGTAATTTAGGGTTTGAGGGGTGGAGTGTTTATTTTGGTCGGCTGGTAGTTTTTAAAAAATTTTTTATATGTGTGTGTATATTTATTAATGTAGTGTCTCGATAAGTTGAGTGCCTAAGAAGTCCACATTTACATATCATTAGTTTATGACACAAGAAAATTTCAACCAGTAAAGCCACACGTTTGTTTTTACATTATTCTTGTAATATGATTGATGAATTACTGACTCATGTTTACCTCACGCTTGTTTGGTTGGTCACAGTGTTAATAAGTTTAGTGACTGATTGAAGTTGAGATAAATTAGTTTTCCTTTATACTAGCAAACGCCTAACCATTTTGTAGTTTTCCATTAAAAAGACACATTTTCGCAACTTATCCACTTCGAGTGTTTTTTAAATTTACTACCATTCTGAACTATGAATAATAATAAAGCATTAAACAAATATTATTATGTTGTATATCATTAGCATTTATTTATATTTTGGTGTTACTTTTGTTGCGCCTTCCAGTTGCAAAGATGGCGTCTTCCGCAAGTACCAGGGCGCCCGCACCAAGGACGACTTCCTCAGCTTTGTGGACGAAAAGAAGTGGAGTGTGGTGGAGCCGGTCTCCTCCTGGTTCGCACCCTCGTCTTTTCTGTGAGTCCGCATCGTTTTTCTGTCTTGTCGAACCACGTTTGGGTGTTCTGACTGAAGAGGTTCCGCTAGAGTTTGGTTGTCTTAAGAATATTATCAAATGTCTGTCCTGTTGGCTCTGCTGTTGCCTTGTTTGTATAGTTTTTGTGTGTGTGTTTGTGTTCATGTCCCAATTAATGTCTTTTGTTTGTGTCATCTTTTGTAGAATGAATTCCATGTCTGCTCTCTTCAAGCTCTCCATGTTCATCCGAGTAAGTTTTCTCCACGTTTTAAGATCTAGACAGGCGCTTTGAGAGTACAATAAGACTCGAGGAGAAAAGTTGCTTAGATTATGTGGGACATCGTAATTGATAGGGGAAGCGGTAAAAAAAGCAACATTTCAGGTAGTCTCGACTGAACCTTGGAACTGGGTAAAATTATTTTAATAAAATCACTTGTTCAGAGCAAAGTGGCATATTTTATGTGTTTGGGTTTTTGACACTTTTTTTGGGTGATATTTTCTTTGGGGGCTGAATTTTCAAGGAGTTGTGGTCAAGTTCTCACCTGGAGGAGCTGAGTTATAAGCGTTTGTGTTTTAGGGTGATTCATCAAACGTCATCGCTTTGCTCGGTGTCGAAAACTCAAATCCTTTGACGTCCCTACTGAATCGCATATTGCCACAGTTTTTTGTAGGTTTTTTTGTCTGAGACAAAATTTCATATCGGTAAGTGAAACTGACTTTGGGGGGCTGAATTTATTTTTTTAAATAATCTATTGAACGTTACTGAGCTAAACAGCTGATATGAACCAAAATAGCCGACTTCCTGTATCTTATTGGCCGTGGTTTCTTGTGACTTTTTGTGGCTCTATTCTTGATAGACAGGCCTCCCAAATTCAACGTTTTTAAGTGAAACTGGCTTGAGTCCTTTTTTTTTTTTTTGTGGATCTGCTATAGACACGCCAAGCAAATTCTATGTTACTGATCATCATACCCGACCGTGCTACTGTTGATTTTCTCCCAGCGTTGTCATAACTACATGACGGAGCAACTGGGTATTCCTGTGTGGGGCTCATACGTCATCTTCGGCCTGGCCACGCTCTTCTCCGGCCTCGCTCTGGGACTGGTGAGCAAAAACGGAACTTTTTCCTCTCTCGATTCATTTGTAAAGTAGCATACACAATATTTGCTATTGTTGTTTTTCAGCTGCTGGTGTTCATCGCCGACTTTGTTTTCCCATCGCGACGATTCTCGCCAGACTACTATCAGAGTAAGTTTTCATGTTTTCAAACACATTGCAGGACAGAATAATGATTAGATCTTTGAAGTTGTTTCAAAACGGCACCAAATTTGACTCTTGCCGCCGGCGGAGGCAGCAAATTGTTTTGCCGATAGCCAAAAATTGAAAAGCATGGCGACTCGGTTGGCCGTCAAAGTCCAGCGTCAACGCCTCACTCTTGTCGCTGACGCACAGAGAAACAAACGGGGGACCAGGCCTGGCTCCTCCAACAGCAGCAGGAGGAGGAGGAGGAGCACGAGGCCGACGGCGAGGAGGACGACGACGAAGAGGAGGAAGAGGAGGAGGAAGACGACGAGGCGTGGAGGACGCGGCGGCCCCGCAGGGCCTCCCCCGAAGGCCGCCCCGAGTCCAAAGAACAGGCCGTGAGGAAGCGGGCAGTGCCCAGCCGCAAAGAGGAAGAAGATGAGGAAGAGGAGGAGGAAGACGACGAGGCGTGGAGGACGCGGCGGCCCCGCAGGGCCTCCCCCGAAGGCCGCCCCGAGTCCAAAGAACAGGCCGTGAGGAAGCGGGCAGTGCCCAGCCGCAAAGAGGAAGAAGATGAGGAAGAGGAGGAGGAAGACGACGAGGCGTGGAGGACGCGGCGGCCCCGCAGGGCCTCCCCCGAAGGCCGCCCCGAGTCCAAAGAACAGGCCGTGAGGAAGCGGGCAGTGCCCAGCCGCAAAGAGGAAGAAGATGAGGAAGAGGAGGAGGAAGACGACGAGGCGTGGAGGACGCGGCGGCCCCGCAGGGCCTCCCCCGAAGGCCGCCCCGAGTCCAAAGAACAGGCCGTGAGGAAGCGGGCAGTGCCCAGCCGCAAAGAGGAAGAAGATGAGGAAGAGGAGGAGGAAGACGACGAGGCGTGGAGGACGCGGCGGCCCCGCAGGGCCTCCCCCGAAGGCCGCCCCGAGTCCAAAGAACAGGCCGTGAGGAAGCGGGCAGTGCCCAGCCGCAAAGAGGAAGAAGATGAGGAAGAGGAGGAGGAAGACGACGAGGCGTGGAGGACGCGGCGGCCCCGCAGGGCCTCCCCCGAAGGCCGCCCCGAGTCCAAAGAACAGGCCGTGAGGAAGCGGGCAGTGCCCAGCCGCAAAGAGGAAGAAGATGAGGAAGAGGAGGAGGAAGACACCTAGAGGGGCGGAGTGGAGCGTCACGTCATCCCTTGTCGAGTGGGAGGAACCTCACACTTCGAACGACGTTTACAAAGCGCCTCTCTTCCTCCTCCTCCTCCTCCTCCTCTTCCTCGGGCGCCTTGGCGGCTCCACCTGAGAACAAAACTTGAGCGTTGGGAGGCTTTTGGAGCCGTTGGGAGTTTGCGGTGTTCTGTTTTCAGCTATGCATCCTTTCTTTTTTTATTATTGTTATTTTTTTGGTTAAATAAAGGTTTCATTTTATGTATATAGACGTTATGGCCCTGTAACAGTATTTGATGGCCCATGAGTGCAGTGTTAGCCAAGGTTAGAAATGCAACATTCTGCGATTTAATTTGATTTTTGTAAGTAGCAAACTTTCCATGCAGAGAGTACCAGGAATTAAATTGGGAATTCATGAGAAATTCGCAAAATGAATTTCTCTTAATACGGACCTCAAAGGGAAGAGCTTTATCATGCTATTTCAATCTTTGCGCAGTTAACTATCAGCATACATACAGTATGATCATATATGACCTCTGGTATAACGGTGAACAAATTTCTTCTGATAATATGAGTTACCTTGGTGGTTATTAACTTAAACCCTACCTCTCCACATGTGTGTGTGAAAGGAACCACTGCTCCCCAACTCAGATGCAAAAAAAAATGAAAATGTTTCATCGGTGGCTGCTCAGAGAAAATAGCCACGTGTTGAGTCGTAGGGCAGTACGGGGCTGGCGACTCACTTTGTTTCATCTAAGATCACGAACCCAGTCGCTTTCTTGGAGTGGGCCGAGCTTGTTGCTTAAAGAGGAGGAGTGAGCCAGAATGCTCAGGGATGGCTGAATGGAGGGAAACACCACTTTGGGGGTGTTTGTGATGCATTTTAATATGGCTAAAAGCTAAAAAAAAAATTGGTTTAGCTTTAGCTATGTTAGCATTAAGAGCATTGTTAGCGGTAGCTTATTTTTAATTAAAAAAACAAAAACTTGTTGCTGCTGTGATAGAGAGCCTTCTCTGGTCATTCCCTGTAGCACTTTCGTCTGTGTTAGCATTGAGCACCATTAGCAAAAGCATTGTCACTCACACAAGTGTAAAAACACTTGAGTTTTGTTAAATAACACCAAAAATTAAGACTTCGTTGCCTCTAAAGAAGCCCTGACAGAGCCTACTCTGGTTATAGGCGTTATGTTTTTGGCTACATGAGCACTAGGCATTGTTCGTCACACAACTGTAAAAATAAGTCGTGCAATTTAATTCAAAATTAAAATAAAGTAAAACTATTGGCCTGACAAGAAGACACCCTGACAACGTTGCATTACTCAATTAACATCATAACATCACTTGTAATAAAGTACACCAAAAATAAAGCAAAATTGAGCTGAGCCCTTCCTGTCTCGCAGCAAAAGCAAAATTCTATTTCCTGTTCTGTGGTTACCATTTCACTTACACCACTTTAGAGGTTGCAGTCTATTTCTGTTTTGTTTTTGTCTGTTTTTTTGTTGTGTAGAATCACTGACTCAGGACAAATGGCCTTTGTCCTCTGTATTCGATTAAAGGTTTTGTTTTATATGCTGTGGTCTCCATTTTAAATACTTGTGAGTTCAGACATGTTTATCCCAGAGCCAACACAACTGATGACATTTTCATGTTGACACTTCAATAAACACCTTCAATAGGCTCGCATGAAAATTGCAGTAAAACGTTTTTTCACCCTCAAGTTCTGGTATTAAAAAAACAAACAAAAAAAAAACCGCATCGAGTCACCACAAAATTCCAAGTAGTTATTAGGCAGTGAGTAAGTCAATACGATCTCACTTGGGAGGAACCTCACACTTCGAACGACGTTTACAAAGCGCCTCTCTTCCTCCTCCTCCTCCTCCTCCTCTTCCTCGGGCGCCTTGGCGGCTCCACCTGAGAACAAAACTTGAGCGTTGGGAGGCTTTTGGAGCCGTTGGGAGTTTGCGGTGTTCTGTTTTCAGCTATGCATCCTTTCTTTTTTTGTTATTGTTATTTTTTTGGTTAAATAAAGGTTTCATTTTATGTATATAGACGTTATGGCCCTGTAACAGTATTTGATGGCCCATGAGTGCAGTGTTAGCCAAGGTTAGAAATGCAACATTCTGCGATTTAATTTGATTTTTGTAAGTAGCAAACTTTCCATGCAGAGAGTACCAGGAATTAAATTGGGAATTCATGAGAAATTCGCAAAATGAATTTCTCTTAATACGGACCTCAAAGGGAAGAGCTTTATCATGCTATTTCAATCTTTGCGCAGTTAACTATCAGCATACATACAGTATGATCATATATGACCTCTGGTATAACGGTGATCAAATTTCTTCTGATAATATGAGTTACCTTGGTGGTTATTAACTTAAACCCTACCTCTCCACATGTGGCTGCCGTGTGTGAAAGGAACCACTGCTCCCCAACTCAGATGCAAAAAAAAATGAAAATGTTTCATCGGTGGCTGCTCAGAGAAACTAGCCACGTGTTTGAGTCATAGGGCAGTACGGTGCTGGCGACTCACTTTGTTTCATCTAAGATCGCGAACCCAGTCGCTTTCTTGGAGTGGGCCGAGCTTGTTGCTTAAAGAGGAGGAGTGAGCCAGAATGCTCAGGGATGGCTGAATGGAGGGAAACACCACTTTGGGGGTGTTTGTGATGCATTTTAATATGGCTAAAAGCTAAAAAAAAAAATATTGGTTTAGCATGATATGGCCGCTTTAAGAGTCCCTGTAAAGTCAGAATAAATGTGTCACATCACAGATGTGTTGTGTAAACCTGACAAATTTGAATCAATAGTATATCAGACTTCAAATTTGAGTACTGGTAGATGAGGTAAAAAGCACTCCGCCACTTTGAAGATGTAACAGAGGGTTCTTTAGTCATCGGCTGATCTGCTTTTAGCTATGTTAGCATTAAGAGCATTGTTAGCGGTAGCTTATTTTTAATTAAAAAAACAAAAACTTGTTGCTGCTGTGATAGAGAGCCTTCTCTGGTCATTCCCTGTAGCACTTTCGTCTGTGTTAGCATTGAGCACCATTAGCAAAAGCATTGTCACTCACACAAGTGTAAAAACACTTGAGTTTTGTTAAATAACACCAAAAATTAAGACTTCGTTGCCTCTAAAGAAGCCCTGACAGAGCCTACTCTGGTTATAGGCGTTATGTTTTTGGCTACATGAGCACTAGGCATTGTTCGTCACACAACTGTAAAAATAAGTCGTGCAATTTAATTCAAAATTAAAATAAAGTAAAACTATTGGCCTGACAAGAAGACACCCTGACAACGTTGCATTACTCAATTAACATCATAACATCACTTGTAATAAAGTACACCAAAAATAAAGCAAAATTGAGCTGAGCCCTTCCTGTCTCGCAGCAAAAGCAAAATTCTATTTCCTGTTCTGTGGTTACCATTTCACTTACACCACTTTAGAGGTTGCAGTCTATTTCTGTTTTGTTTTTGTCTGTTTTTTTGTTGTGTAGAATCACTGACTCAGGACAAATGGCCTTTGTCCTCTGTATTCGATTAAAGGTTTTATTTTATATGCTGTGGTCTCCATTTTAAATACTTGTGAGTTCAGACATGTTTATCCCAGAGCCAACACAACTGATGACATTTTCATGTTGACACTTCAATAAACACCTTCAATAGGCTCGCATGAAAATTGCAGTAAAACGTTTTTTCACCCTCAAGTTCTGGTATTAAAAAAACAAACAAAAAAAAAACCGCATCGAGTCACCACAAAATTCCAAGTAGTTATTAGGCAGTGAGTAAGTCAATACGATCTCACTCATTCACAACATTGGAGTGATGGTCATTTTTTTTTTCATTTTTACAAATTGAAACAAACCATTTGTATAGATCAACGGTTCTCAAAATGGATGGGTGGATATATTTACACTGGAGAGACGATTTTGTGTGTTTACAACCAGCACACTTAATAATATATTTCATACCAGTAGATGTCACTCTATGAGCACTTTAAAGGCAACAACATGAAGCGATTCATTGTTGGAAAAATGGACTGAAGTCAAAATTTGGACCTGACCAACCGGACACTTCATTAGGTACACCTGCACAACTCGATGTATTTATTTTTTTTACAGGGTACATATTTTGTGTTATCTTGTTTTAATTAGATGTTACACCCGATAAAGTATATCGGCCGCTTCCTTTCTCATTTACTTACATCAAACATGTATTTCGTAATCAACAATTTCATGATGAAATCAAGTTGAATTTGCATGAAATCCGATCGAATTCACATTTCATGGGTTCATTCAAGTTGAAATAACAGAAGGCAATCGCGTGTCTTTGCTAAGCTATCACAAGCGCGGACAAGCAACTCTCCCGTTTGCTTGTGTCACAGTGCCGGTTCGCACATCCACTTTCAGTTCTGATAGCGTGGGTTCAAATCCGGGCTCTGGAACTTCCTTTGCGGATTTTGCAAGGTCTACCTTGTACCTGTGTGAGTTTTCACCGAGTACTCTGGTTTCCTCGCACATTCCCAAAACATGCATTTGAAGACTAAATTCTCGACAAAGTGAATTTTAGCTGGGGTCAGTTTTATTAGACCAAAAATTGTATAAATCAGCTGACCTACCCTCGCTAAATTAAATGTATTCAAACCAAGTCGGACCCAATTCTACTGATTGAGTGAATTTAACCATAGTAAAATTTCGTTTACCCAACCCAATTCCAATAAGATAGACCAAAAGAAATGCTTAATGGTGAAAGAAAACGTGGAATTTTTTTCCCATGATTTTTTTTTGTCAAATTTCAATGAAAGCTGGTTTTTCAGTTTTGTAATGTGAGATTTATTTTATTCCATTATTTCCTTTCTATTAACGACAGATTAATTCCACAAGTACACCCTGTGCTTTTACTTTGGTTTTATCATGATGTCACCACCAAAGACCACAATTGGTCGCCAAAGATTATCTGTGTGATGATAACTGTAGAACAGGAAATGGAATTTATCAGGACGTAAAGAAGGTTAAGGCGGGGCAAACCCACAATCCAAAATGTGCGGTTTGACTGTTTTTTTCTTTTAATGCAAGTTTGTGTTAATGGTTCCGAGAAACACAAAGTTAGCCAGCCGAGCGACTGTTTCCGCGGAGACGGCGAGGTTTGTTGTGGCGCTCGGCACCCAATCTGAAACTCACATCTGGTTCTGGGTCAGTCAGAAACCCCTCAACACACATTCATACACACCCTGAGTTGAAACATTTTCTACTTGGCTGGGAACGGGTGTGCATTCA